TGGTGGATTCTTAAAAGCGGTCGATTTAACGTTTAACATTGTAAACATGTGTGTATAATAACGATTCGAACATAACATAGCGACATATGCATTAGAACATGACATACCAATGTGAAACAAATTGGAGCTACATTCCCTTAAATCCACGGCATTTGAAGATAAACTGCCAGAAGTCATGCTAGACGCATGACGTTGCTTTCCACGAAGCGGGAAAAGGCCAAAAGATACGCCAGAAAAATGTCTTTTTTAATCGAAACTTTTCGAAACGTTTCACACGAACAAGGAAAATGGCAGCGATTCTCCCGACTCCAGTTATTGCAGCAACGGCATGTGATTGGTTGAAATGCGTCACGTGGGCGAATACGGAACTCACCGAGGCATTCCGGTTAGTTCCGGCAAAAGCTTATGATTGAAATTGACATCATGAAATCCACAATTTCAGGATTAATTACAGGCATGTGCTAATTTTCACCGAAATTACATAAATACATAATAAACGTAAATTTAAGCCAAGCATATCGGTCTATAATCTGAAGATAAAATAAAGTATTGATTTATCGAGCAAACGTTGATTTAACAATGAAATGAACAATGAAATTGAATAAAAATGGCATCGAACGAAATGAACCGATCGCTAATGTTACAAATTAGTAAACTGGTTCACGCGAGATTAATGGAGTATACAACGTTACCTCTTTAGTTTTGCAGGAATAGTGGTGACCTATTGGGCAAGTGGTGATCAAATACTTAGTATAAAATAAGCGTATCAAAACAATAAGCAGTGAGACAGCGGGGCGGCTGGGAATAATTTATTTTCAAAACAATGAGAATACAATGAAATGTTTCTCTAGCATAAGATCAGATTGTACCTGGATTATGTACATTTCATGCTCACTTACAGTTGGTAAACACCTGAAATTGCAAACGCGGAATTGAGTTTTCATTCAACAACTTGTATTCTACGTCAGTGCGTAAAACTGATCTATCACTACTATATCAAAAGTCTTTTTTTCAGTGAAAGGCTAAAGATCAGCGATTTGTTTCACCAAGGTTAGCGCAATAAAACGGATATATAGTGATTTTTTCAACTGTTGCAAAAAGCTTGAAAAGCCATTAAAGTGTAGAGCCGCCAACACTACTAATTTAAAACTTCAACAGGTCACTTACTAGTACGGAAAAACTTTCAAGCGATAGAAATGAAACGTTATCCGGTGGATACCGATAGCCGCTATCCTGCATTATTTTCTGGGTCGCTGACTTTTGTTAATGTTTTTACGACCTTCCTGAAATTCCCGGGCAATTTTTTACCAACGAAATAGCATGCAAGAAAAACCTCTTTGTCTATGACAAAAATGATGAAAACTATTTCACGAAGGCTTTAACATCACAACAACCAACCACAGAACCAAACCATCAAATGTATGTAAGCCTTGGTTACTGTACAAAGTAAGATGTCGCTACGCAAGAGAGACAAGACAGTTAATTCCTTGAATCATGCAGGGGCATCTATTCCGCCCCATCCGGTCGTGATTGTTCTCGCGGAAATTGTTGACCATGATTAGCTCAGGTTAACTTGCGACCTGGATTATACGCGAAGGATCTTTATTGATATAATTACCGCATTTAGAGACAATGTTTTTGGTACATACTTTCATTAATTCATATATAATCTACACTACACGTGTCACGTTTGCTTGGAAGAAGATACCGTATGCCCTGTATGCAATGAACGAGCCCATTTTTTGACCCAGGGCCAGTGGCCAAGATTTCATCCACGGCCGCTGTTGCTGACAAGCATATAATTAAGTTATCCCATTTGTGAATGAAATTTTAACACGAATGTAAGTACCCCACGTAAACGATAAAATGGGTGGGCTGAGCTAGATACAGACTACAACAAGGTATTAATTATATTAGGATCTGATCCACAAGAGGATGCCAACGCGGGATCTCGCTGACTTGTTGTGGTCAGTTAACAGTTGATAGTTTGTATAAAACTTAGTCGGAAACAGTAAAACTTTGTTTAGTCATTTAAGGTCGATCAAAAAGCATAATTTCGAGTAAAAGAATCAAAGATTTTCATTCGCTTGTCAGTTAATAGTTTGTAACTTTACCGACTGCAGAGAAGAGTCTTTATTCGCTAAGCTGTTAACCCTATTGGCACCCCCAGGCAATGGTACCTTGCCAAAATAATGAAAAGTGGATCTCTACTTAATGCATTCCTAGCTGGGCGCTTAAATGCATGGTAGAAATGAAAGAGTTGAATTACGCCCTTCTGAGCACACCCCCCCCCCAGCAACAAACACACCCCTGGGACGAAGCAATCTCGTGTTCCGTGTATATATTTCTTCATCAAACTGCCTTCGATAAAGTACTCTTGCCTTTGTCGGGAGAAACATCGTGAAAAATTTTTCTTTTTACATTTTACCTTAAATAGAATAAATTCAATAACAATATAGCATATGATTTAGCAGCGGGACTTCCTTGACCGGACGCAATTGAGATGAAAATCAGACGAAACTTTCGTTTGATTGAATAATTCAGCTTGGTAGAAAATCGCGCTTACTTTCGATCCAAGACTTCGAATTCCGAAGCTTTGACAACTGGTCACATTCCATCCATCCGACGGACATATTTTCGAGAAAAACAATTCCGAATATAGCGCTGCTGCATCTCCACTCGCAACGCCATTTTTGGGAATTGAATCGAGATTGTAGAATTTGAGATGTACTTACAAAAATGCTACTTTTCGGAAGCCTAACCGCGAACCTGAATAAGTGTTCATTATCAGAAAACCTCTGCCCCCATTAGTCTCAAAGTGAAGAAATTTGAGGTAAATGTGCTTCAGCAATTTTTCTGTGAAATTCAGTGAATTCGAGTGAAATAAAACGTTGTCGGCCAAGATAGCATCTCGACTCACGTGCATTAATTGTCATATCAATGAAAACAACAGACATAGCGTCTCTACACATCCTAATCCACATAGTCGGCATTTGAACCTCGTGTCAATGACGCAAACTCCGGTACTTTCTTAGACGAATCACTTATCATAAGCCAAGTAGACTTTAATCTGACAGCTATCGAAAATCGTCCCCTGCGACAAGAAATGGCAAAGAATTAAGAGAACAGCTTTGATTCGCTTGTAGCGTTCGTGGGCGATAAACAACCATAGCAAAAGACCTTTTTCTAGGAATTGTTTACGCAGATCCAAGACGCAATTTATGCAATAAGCCTTAGTTTCTCGCTGAGAATTCCTCATTAATCACGCACGATCCTTGAACGACGCGCTTGAAGTAAGTGATAGAGTGCCCTAATAAAAATACTTTTCTCAACAGCGCGTCTTATCGGAATTTTGGTTATATACAACGGTAACGAGGGTTTGAAAGTGTTCACAAGTCCAAATGATTTATGGGCACATTTTGCCATGGTTACCAAGATAAATAATCACCCTGCAGCTTCGACCCGAAGTGTAAACTAGGTTAGAGTAATCGGCCATGCAACGAACAAAAATGTCTTTTGATTGATAAACTATTTTTTAAGCACAGTTCGTTTTTCTAATTAACTCTGATCAAAGTTATTAATTGGATTAAATTTCGGCTGGCAATTTTAGCCAAAGGGAAGTAATATAATATAGTAATTATAATTATGGGCCGCGGTAATTTTAGAGGAAAATTTCTCGACCTTTCCATAGACTAGTGTTCGACTTTCGTATTTTTTTCTCTTTGACACACGTCATTTTTGATACTCTGAGGCAAGGTTGTGGTAACTATAAATTATGACCTATACTAGTATAGCTCAGTGGAGCTGTAGTGATACTTTTTACGTCATATGACGAAGCGTTCACATCGAGACGTCCAGATATTTTCTTGTAATGATACACCTACTTACCAGTTACCATGGCGACAGACTAAAGTTTAACGGTGATTTTAGCCCCCCGGCGAGATAAGCCAAAAGCTTATTCCAAACCTTATAACTTTTTGTTTCCGGGGGATTGCTTGTTTATACATCTACTTACAATCTTGCTATGGCTACAGATCGGATAGATTAGGCCTGTGCGTGGTCAACATTGCTGTTAAGCTTAAAGACTGCCTCAGCAATAAACTTTTTGACTTAGATAGTTAATGCCTGAATAATGGCGAGCTATTATACACTTAAACCTAATGCCTTGCTTCCAAGGGAAATAGTCACGGAGTTTTGTTTTCCCAATAGTCTGAGACTCGAGGGAAAACAAAACTCACTATTTTCCGAGGTAGTGCACTTTAAGTGCTTTGTTATATAGGAACAAAAACATACATGTTACACAAGAATTTTATTTTAAAAAAACCACTTTACTTTGTTATGACAAGAAGCTGGCAACAATTTTTCACTTGTTTCCCTGGCGGGAAACATTGCATTTATTCACTAAACCCCACTTAGGCCTATTTCCAAGTTTTCAGCTATCTTGGAAAATAGCGACTTTTCAGAATCGGTCTAATCCATGACTGTTTGGGGCACAGAGAACTGATACAGTAATACTTTGTATTTACTTTGATTCAAAGCAAGGATTAAGAGTTGTGTGTTCTCTCTGGCGCTCAAGATGCTACAAAGTGTGTTCTGGGAGAATTGAACCCAGTGACTGAAGTTAAACTATTTCTTTGGAGAGAATTTAAATTGCTTTCAACACTACTTTTGTTGTAGGCGTTTTTCGAAAGTTCCGAAATAAAAAAATCCTTTTATGTACAAAAAACTATGTGGGTTTAATACTCCGAAAATGGATATGCTCGCTAATTCTACTATTCTAGATTACCTTTAGCCTGCGGTGCAGACGATTACCTTTGACCCTGCAAAAAAGCGGGAGAAAAACGTTGCGGGTGCGCGGGCATTCGAGCTTTGGCTTCTTGTGATGCACCACCCTGGCAACCTGGCTGCACCCTGGCTGCAGGCAAACTCTGATCGAGCAAATCTCCCCAACCCACTGGGGGTAAGCCAAATTTGTCATTGTTTACAGTTTCCTAGCAAATAACTCGGAGACTTGTTAAAGTTTTGAAAATTTGTAAAATACTTTTTAAGACAAAATCGCAATGTTTCTTGTTCAAAATCCTCCATCTGCTCCTTCTACACCGCGGGAACAGTTCGTAAGCGATGTTGGACATTCACATCGTTTCAAAGTGAACATCGAAGGCGGTTTAAAATTGTTAAATCGTTTGTAAGTTGACATATCTTTTTGCTATTATTTGCATACTGCATACATGCACAGCCACAAGATAAAGACACTTTAAAAGTGCTTGCGGTTGTCTGATCGTTGTGTTTGTCTTTCTAATAGAGAGACCGATTCGGAAATAATGTGCTGCCGTTTCAATCCTGAAGGAAACCTACTTGCTGTTGGTCTGGTCAACGGGGTTACAAAAGTATGCGGCATGTATTTATATTTCATAATTTTATGCGTTTGGTTTTATTCCTGTTGATCGCTTATTGTACAATTACTTGCAGTGCTCTTCTACGAAGTAAGAAAGCAAGTAAAAATGCATTTGTTGGCACATTTTCCGTGAATAAGTTAGCGTACAAGCGGTATACAACTGACAATTGAAATTGTTTGACAATTAATCTCTAGAGATTAATTACATAAATACCATATAGAGTAGGCTCCATGCATAAGATATAGGCTACTTTTTGTTAATATCCCAGCTATATAATATATGAGCGATATTTTCAGATCTACACAGTTGAGCCGCTATCATGTGTATATGTGTTACCAGCAGAAGATACCGGCGGACAACCTTTGCCCGTCACATGTCTCAGATGGAGGCCAAATATTGGGAACCAAGATTTCAAGAATATCTTGTTGGCAACATGTAAAATATTTAATACACTTTAATATTTTGAACGCATATCAACTTTGACATAAGGGTTTAATCAGGGTCAGTACGTAAAACATTGCATCTGAATGTATTCTCCCAGTATTAAGTTAACTGTCTTTTCAACAACTAGCCCTGATTGAAAAACTATCTGGCATTATACAGAGTAAAACATAAAAGTTGGGCAAATCTAGGCCAGATACATTGCTAGCAAAAGTGATGTTAAACTGGTGTGTTTTGCTCTGCTAGATGCAAGTGGTTCTGTAAAGACTTGGCATGTTCCTACAATGGATTGCATTAGTTCAATCCAGGAAGGTGGTAGGCAGGTTTTGGCTTGTGCATTTAATGCATCTGCATCACAATACATCACGGCTGGATCTGATACAACCATAAATCTTTATGATGCTACCACAAGACAGAAATTGTTCAGTTTGGAACCAAGGTAAGGTGCATGGTAGTGACAGATGAGGAATGGTAGATGATGATGGTTGATAGATGATGGATTGTACATGATGATGGTTGATAAATTGTACATGATGATGATGGTTGATAGTTGATGATGGTTGATGAATGGTGATAATGATGGATGGTAGATGTTTATGGGTGATGTTGGATGATGATGGTGGATAATGATGATCAATGGTTGCGGATGATGGTGAATAATGATGCTAATAATGGTGGGTGATTGTGGGTCATCATAAGGATCATGCTAATAGTGGTTGATGATGATAGGTGTGAAAATCTGGAGAATGATAAATAATGATAGTAATAGTTACTAAGTCAGTACCTTGATATAAATTTTAGCACATCATTTCTTGTGATGGATGGTCATATGATGAGAATATTCTCAGTTATGTATTTCCCGAATGATGATCACGTCTTTCTATCCGGTGGCTGGGACGACACACTACAGGTCTTGCGTTGTTTCTTTTGTGAGTGCATGTGTTCAACGAATTTTTTTACTACTTATAAACCAGACTCGGGAAAAGAGGCCCATAGCTTTGACTGCCATCAAAATGACTTCTCAAATCTCAACAACCCTCGTGGAAGAAAATCGTAGCATCGAACGAAAGGCCATCATTTTTTTTGTGGCCATCTCAAGCCTCGACAAAAATTCGCCCTTGGTATAAGCAAGATTCTGTGAATCAATGATTCATAATAGACGAATACAGGCTCGTGGCAATCGTTTTGAAACGCTTTATGCTGACAAAATAGGCCGAGACTGGCGAGACATCCCTTTCTTTCGTTGAGACTTTCGTCTGAATTATTTGTAATGTTAGTTTTCTTTTCACACTTAAATTCTGTGCAGTGGTGGGACAGTCGGGCCGACTCGAAACACTCCGTAAGGTATGTATACAATGTTTTATCATGGGCCGGTTGTATCAAGCCCGTTTAGCTTAAACGGCGGATAAGTCCAAAATAGAAAGCAAGTCTGCCGTTTCATTCAACAAGCGAACTAAATGTTTTTGACCTTAATACAAAGATACTGTTTACAACTACATATTCAGTGCATAATATTCAACTTGACTCATTCAAGTGAGACGTAAGAGTGTTATTTAAATTTGACTTATCCACCGTTTAAGCTAAACGGGCCTGATACAACTGGTCCAAGTACTACAAATAACCATAATTGCTGTGACCGCCCCGCCGAAAAGAAATTTGCTTTTCTGTACGTTTAATAAAAGACATGCATGCAAGCACATTCAAAAACTCGCCTAAGTCTGATGTTATTTCATACCTAGGAGGATTTTCGGTCCTCATATCTGTGGGGACGCTCTGGATATCATGCCATCGAATGGTAACATTTTAACTGGCTCATGGCGCAAGGACAACAGCGTTCAGATCTGGGACTTTAACAGCGGTGAACTGATAAGAGATGTCCCGGATGATTTCAATAAGTCTATGGTAGGTTTTGGTGACGGGTGCATGGTAGGTTTACGATGGTGTCAATTTGATTACATGGTGAAAATGAGTATGGTAATAGGGGATCATGGTGGTTATGATGCGATGATCGTGGATTGATTTTCTATTTGGATCAGTGAGTAATATACTAGATAAAAGGATACATTTCTCTACCATCTATTTCACAGACATATTGCACCCAGTGGTTGCCCGATGGTCAGATCATCGCTGGCGGAAGCGACCAGAACATGTTAAGAATGTTAGAACAAAGTGCAACCAGCACCGTGGTAAGCTGAAATCAGTGAACTCCCGGTTGAAAAATCACCACCCGGTATACCGCAGCGCTATCCAGTTTCCATATATCCGGCCCCAGGTTGTTTCGACACTAATCGCTTTTTCTCACCCCTAGACGATTGGTCGCATGGTGGATCTACCTCGCGCGGTCTACACTGTCGATAACGACCGCTCTGGACCGAACCCCAGGATCGCGGTCGGCTCTTCAAACAATATTTATATCGTACAGCGCTCGTAATCTTCAAAGACGAAACGACTTTGTTTTAATCTGTGGGTGACATTTTTCTGGCTTGCTGTGAAAGTATAGCTTAGTCATGGGGAATTTTTATCCCCACGGCAGTTATAACCTATATCCCGGGATAAATTACCCTCACCGGCTATAATCTATATTAAGATCTGTTCACACGATCCAATTTTGTTGGATCCAATTCACTTCTGATGGATGTTTTATAGTTTGTTGTTTTGTAACGTATATGAGCAGTAAATCCACTGAAGCCAATGCAGTACTGCTTTATCAATAACTGACTATATTTCATACGTCAGAAGTCAATTGGATTCAACAAAATTGGATCGTGTGAACAAAACTTTACTGTTTGCAAAAAGATAGTGACAGGTCGATGTCAAAATTTGGTATTTTTAAACAGAAAAATGTATCTTACCGATACGAAAGTTCGTGAAAAAGTAGCCATCAACTGGTTATCCAAGACGGACATGCCGCCATGTTTTCTATCATAGCGAATTATAACATAACAAACACTGACCACAGTTCTCGTTTTTTAACCCACAAATCCAGAGGTTCCAACCCATTTAATATTTATAAGAATTAAGTATTTACTAGCTAAATATAATATTTGTATGAAACAGCATGTAGTATTGGTAATTTAAAGGGTTAAATGTAATTTAAAAACTTATTATATAAAGAAAGGATTGTATTGATGAAATGTTTCATATGCATTGCTCTGGTACTCTGTATTATATTGTAAGATGACTAACAAGCATTGTTCTTAATTATAATAACTTGTAGGTACACCACGTAAGTATTAAATACTGCAAAGCTTTCGGTCCGTTAACCCGGACCTTCATCAGTGCAATTACTTGAATACACGTTTGCGCGTCACTTAAATATCATGTTAGTCGTGATTAGTTTGCTCGCGCTATTAATTAAACGGTTTCATTTAATTAAGTTCTAACTAATGCGCGCGCCCTAGACAAGTATTTGACTAAGAGACACCGAAAAGAGCACGCCACGTACTATTAAGTGGCTTTCCCTCTTGGACGATAGTTTGATGTTTATAAATCAAACTATCTTGGACGATAGTTTGATGTTTTGAAAGCTTTGCAGTATTTAATACTTACGTGGTGTACCTACAAGTTATTATAATTACTAAAGTCGCCATGCAATCATACAAGAAAATTATTAAGCATTGTTCTGTTGAAATTTTATAATATCATTTTATAAATCGAATATTGTCAATGTTTTGTTGTTAAAAGAAAACGCATTTTTATTGCATTCCGAGTATACTGCAGGCTCACCCCAGGCTGGCTGCAGTGAGACACGGCTCATTTTCCCTACCTACCTATAGGCAGTGATCTCTCAAGTTAAACTGGAATGATAACTGATAATAAATGGATATTTGCCTAGAGTTAAAAACGGCAAATCATAGCTATTAAAATATTTGAATATTTCTTTTTTAGTTAAAGTCTTGAGATTTCTACAAAATTAGACTTGCTTACGTCAGTTTCATCTTCAGCCAATCAAAATCTGGCTTCAAGACGGAGGAAATTACTACGTCTTATAGCCAGATAATATTAGGACTGGACAAGAGATCGAAAATCGTTAGCAGTTAAAATGGTCTGGGTTAATTGTGGATTATTTTTCAACAGTTAAAATTTAGAAAACTAGACCACTTATCACTTCGTTTATTACTAGTTCCCAGTCCCAGCTCTACCCATTTTTCCGCATTCATGTTACCTCTATCATTCGTTGGAAAACATTGCATAATTTGTATTGTCATTCGAGTCTTGAAACTTGTTCTAAAATTTGTAAGCACTTAATTAATTAACAATGAACAAATTCATCACCCCCCCCCCCCATAGAGTAAAGTTATTTTAATCTCTCCCTGATTGACAACAACAAATTTACTTTTTCATCAACGGCATATAGAGTTGATACAGGGTGGAAAATTTGCGTGATTTTAATGGTTAAATATTTGGATACTCATGTATAAATATTCTTTTCGTTCTGAGCTCCATGTTATTCAACTGCATTTTTCATGACGCAAAACACTTCATTCAGACAACATTACTGGAAATGAAATACTATGCGTCTATCGGAATGTGATGAAAAATATTCAGTCTCCAGCTGGTTATTTACCTCAGTTTGCTGATTTTCTCCCTTCTCCGGATCAACGTAGAGATATTTATTGTCTCTGTAGAGCTGTCTCCTCTTCAGGAAATAAAGAACGCAAATATCACAGAGCACGGTTGCCTTCAAATAATAAGATGATAATTGAAGTGATACACTAGTTAGGCTAATACTGATTGATATTATTAGCAACAGTTAGACTAGCATTGTGGAAGGTTAAAAAGGAAAAAAAACAATTAATTGTCTATGAACCTACCAATGCAAGCAATCCTAAACCAGCACCAAAATTTCGTAGCAGAGGCACGATGTCAAATTTTCCAGCCTTTGGCAAAAAGGATATTAACTATAAAGGATATAAACTGACACCACACCACACGACACTACACCACATCACACCACACCACACCACACCACACCACACCACACCACACCACACCACACCACACCACACCACACCACACCACACCACACCACACACCCCACCACACGACACCACACCACACGACACCACACGACACCACACCACACCACACCACACCACACCACACCACACCACACCACACCACACCACACCACACCACACCACACCACACCACACCACACCACACCACACCACACGACACCACACCACACACACGACACCACACCACACCACACCACACCACACCACACCACACCACACCACACCACCATCACATCACACCACACCACACCACACCACCCCACACCACACCACACCACACCACACCACACCACACCACACCACACCACACCACACCACACCACACCACACCACACCACACCATACTACAGTAAACCACACCACACTAACCATACCATACAGAAAACCGCGACTTAATTTACCTGAGCATCAACCAGGATAACAAACCGTATTCCGTACGCTTTGATCAGAGTTCTTCGTTCATGAGTTATGTCGCTTATGTCATATTGTGCAATTCTAGAAAGTAAAACGAAACAATTAAAGCATACCGTTAAAGCTTAAACCCATGCGCTTTTTACAGTCGGTTCCTACCTTATGTTGTACCCCGGAGATTTCTTTGACGTTGGGTCGTCTATTCTGAAAAAAATACGAAAATATTTCACAAAAAGCATCCTCGTGACGACTATCTTGATTCGGAGTAATTCATCACGTGTAAAATGTGAATTTTTTCTACGTCTTCTCCTACCTCACAAAAGAATACTTTGGAACACACTCACTCTTGTCAAAATCCAAATTACAATCCCAAGATATTTTTATCGCGATAACACCACCCTAGGGAGTAGAATATAGCTAAAACACGTGATTACAGGACCCTCAAGGACTACGTACAAACAGTATACACTAACAAGGAATTTCGTTTTGAACTAATCAGCATATTTGTTTACATTTTTAAGCTAAGCCAATCAGAATGCCTACATTTTTAAAACTTCATGTAAAATGGTAAGAAATGCACATTTCCACCGAAAGTGATTCAGATTTCTGCAGTCTGATTGGATTACACAAAATGTAAACAAATTTGCTGATTGGTCTACAATGAAATTTCTTCTTGCTGTGCACATTCGTTTCCAACTCCTCTCGTCCAATTACCTTGAGAGCCGTATCATTGAAAGTCGTGCCAGGAATTTCAGCAAAAATTGTTCTTAGTGAAAATATTGGACAGAGCGGGTGTTCGTCACGGCTGTACAGACAACCTTTCAAGTAATCTGGGTCACCGTGTTCCTCATTGATATTTCGCCTGCAAAAGGCAATAATTTGGAAGACATTTTTGTTTACATAGCTCGTGTATTTTAACACTTGAAACTTTAAGAGCTTCAACAAGAGACGGTTGAGATGACAAGGTGATGTTCGTTCTATCCTGAGCAACAGAACAAGTAGCTCTTACACTGATTCGCCGAACTTCGGGAAACGAACTGTGTTCTTGATGAAGATTGTGAAGTCCACGGCTTCGTCAAAAATAACGGATTTACTGAGAGAAATAACGAACACAATATAATTGTTACAGTGGATAAAAAAGAAAAAACCGATGTAAATCATTGAAAGATTCATCTATTTAACTAGTTCAGTGATTTCAACAAAAGAGAGATATTCTGTTATGTCAGTTAACCAGTTTTATAGGTACACGGGAAGAAATTAATCAGGTTGTCGCATCAGGAGTGAACAATGTTGTGCTCAACCTCGTACCAAGGGCCTTTTACCTACGCTCCACGGCCCACGCTGCGTGTTGTGTTGTTACACAGTGCACCCCATTAACAGTGAACTGTTGACGATGGTTGTTGAACCTTGCTAAACCGTCAATGTTGTTACAACTTTTTTGTCAACAAACTGCAACAGTATTTATGGTTCACGAACTATTCTTAACAATACCATTCACAGGGTGCAGCACGTGTAACTCAGCAGGATGTAAACGGGTCAGTGGTATACCCTGATGTACAGGCAAACTAGCCCGGATATTTCCTCTTCCCCTAGGAACGAGGTTGCCAGTCTATTTACCTCGCCCAACCGCCAGCATCGCTGGCTTTAAACACTCAACTTTTATGTGCATGAACATCAGATATTGGAACAAGATATTTGAACATCATATATTGGAACACGTCGAATGAACTTACGTCGAAATTAACGAATTGAACTTACGTCGTAAGGCGTTTCCCAAAATTTGTTCCTTGCATTGGCAGTTCATTATTCTCAACTGGACACCACGCTTGTATTTCACACACTGAGTAGTTAGCTGACGCAGGGCGGTCTGGCTTCACACATTTTCCCGTCATTACACCTGTTAAAAAAGTACGTAATATCACCTATTTGAGAGAGGTGTCCGTATTAGAGAGATGTTTGTGTTGGAAAAGTGTTCGTATAATAGGGAGGTGTCTGTATTAGAGAGGTGTTCGTATTAGAGAGGTGTCTGTCTAATAAAGTTAGCATTAGAGAGGTGTTTGTATTAAGGAGTCAAAATTGTTTTAGAAAGTGTCCATATTAGCCGAATTCATATTAGAGACGGGAAACTCATCAAAGACGGAAAACTCGTCTGATGTGAATCCGGTCACAGAGGGGTTTCTCGTCCAAACTTTCCCGTCCAACTTTCCTGTCTAAAACAGTTCCTTCATTATTAGGTTTATCATAGAGAACTAAGAGAAGTATCTCTTTATTCGAGGGGTAACCTTATATGGTGGGGAAGGAATAGAGAAAATCAATAGTCTGTATTACTACGTACCATGGCCATTTTTTGGAACCTTGCCAACATCGCATTCAGAGTCATTTTTACACCTTGCTGCGATGACGCCAAATTCGGGACATTTTCCTTGCACTTGTACAGGTGTTAGTATCATGTTTGTCATTACAAAGACCGCATCGTATTCCTGTAATGTTCGTGTATATAATAATTGATCTAGATCAGGAGCACTGGAAGTATTCAGAGAAAAACGGATCGCAGCAGCGCAAACCTACCTCAGCCGGGTGGATGTAATCAGCTGAATCCCAGGTCCTCGGTCCTTGATCCAAAGTGCGATACACTGTTTTCCCTTGGACCGTGACAGGGTAATCTATGGAAAGATTTGTCTGAGCAATTCCCTTCACTTTTGTCGTAACCGAACTAAGACCATCGTCAAACTTCTGGTAGCCTTTCGAATATATTATCGCGTATCTGTAACGATACCACAACTGGATATTAGATGTAGATAAGTTCCAATATAACCAGGGAGCAGCGTGGCAGCGTCTTCAAACAACTTAGCATCAACTGTGGTATAACAACTGCCTAAAATAGACAAAATACTTCTCGACGTTTCGACCTGAGGACCTTCGTCAGGAGAGTTAGTAAGCTAACGAAGGCCCTCAGGTCGACACGTCGAGAAGTGTTTTGTCTATTTTAGGCAGATACATGTGCAATAGGCAGTGACAATAGGCTAGCTTCTGTAGACTCTAAAACGGGCCTCATACTTCGGAGCTTGCCTGGCTTGGATCTTCGGCTAATTTTGATGTCGTGACCCTACAAATCCGGTTTACGGGCTGTTAATCCCGTGATCCTGCGCTTAGCCAAGATTTCACGAAGCGTGAGATAACATTGAAGTGTTGAAAAGAGCATATAACACGATCGTGCTAATCGTGTAGTCATCCTAGCAATAACATGAGTTTGGGTTTTGGTCGAGGGTCGAGAGTCGAGGGTAGTAAGTCGAGGGTCGAGAGTGAGGTCGAGGGTGAAGTCGAGGGTAAGTAAAGTCGAGGGTCGATTTTTATCGCATTTTACAATCGGCAATGTCGAGGGTGAAGTCGAGGGTCAATTGTAGAAATTCACAATTTGCCTATACTAATATTATATTGTTAATAATATTAATATTATATTATTAATATTATTATTGTTAATATTTTCTTCTATGCAATATGCGATACAGCGTAATCTATACAAATTACATGTTACAAGTATACATACAGATTACAGTTGCAATTTATGAATCTTTGGGCATTATATTTCACAAGTCAGACTTCCAAAACGGGTTAAACTTATTAATTAATTCTCTTGCATGAACATCTTGCCATCTTGCGGTCTCACTTTTTTGTTTTTTGATTCCTGTGTCTTAATAATATCCGAGTTGTCACCTCGAATTGCCGACATAGTGGTGAGACAATGTGCCTGTGGTGTCTGTTTTCACTTTACTGAACTCTTGGCTTGGTAAATACAGCTTTCTATCCGCTAGCGAATCTTTCTACTCGAAAAAACGTGTCGTTATATTAATTTGCTTGTGGCTGAAATTTTGTACTAAAAGTCACATTATATATGCTATGATGAAATTGGCGATGATTCTGCGAATCAGGAATTCAGGCCGCCAGCATTTGAATGGCAAATTCAAGTCATGCACAGGCAGAGGCATCGTCAATTTATTCCCAGGATATACACGTCCCCTTGGGAGGGCAAATTTTGATACAAAAGCCTCAATATATGTTTACCTAATGCTAGCGAATGCAAGACATTAGACATACCCGATAATATAGCCAAGTATCAACAGCTGTATGAATCGATTCATAACACCGACGAGACTGCTTCGTATGTTTACAAGCTTGCTTGTATTGTATACAAAGACTGCGGACGCTACAGCGTCGCCAATTTTCGAGAATTTCCCCATCTTTTGGTCTTGTCAGTCCGATCGAACTTTGATGGCGAGTGTCGACGCTCAAAGCTTGTCTTATTGCATACACGAAAGTACTCGACTCACGATGAATATATTTGCATGCAAACACATGTAGTTATGCGGTTACAATTATGCATGAACGGAAGTGTCATATATCGGCTGTAATTATAAGCGTGAAATAAAATTTTCATTCTACTGCGAAGAAATTCATACGGTTTTAAGACGGCCTAGCTTCTCTCCTAAATATTTTGTTGCATTTTTGTGCGCTAGACCTTTCCCTATTAAAGCAGGTTTTCCATTACTGATATATTTTGCTGGAAGAGAATTATTCTTTAGTGTTTCAGCATTTCGGTCCAGAGCTGATGAGTGCAGTTATAAAAGCAAAAACTACCGCGCTACGGCGCTAGTGCAATGCAAACCCGGTTTTCTAAAGATCAAGTGCAGGTAGTACGAACTGCCCAAACTAGACCTCCTATAAATGGGTATATTTAACAATTATACCTCGAGATGAAGTCGTTCATACTTCTCACTGTATTACTGGCTGTTTTCACTGTTCTCCGAACATGACTTTACATGGCCAATATACCGGGAGTATAATTAAGGCCGTTTCCACTTCAAGAGTATCGTAGCGAAACGTATAATATAATAGCTGAATTCATATTAGAGAGGGAAAAATTCATCAACGGGAAATTTGATGGTAAAACCCCGTCTAAATACGAATAGGAATGGATAAATTCATACGTGTGATGGGTCGGGTAATGCTAAAAAGTGTATCGTAATTAATATTACGATAATCATTTTGTTTCAATAGCTTTGTTCCGTCCTTGACCGTGTTGATATTCCGGAAACTCGTCTCATTCATCCGTCTAAATGCGAATTTAAGATGAGTTTCTCATCCAGACGGGGTTCCCGTTCAACTTACCCGTCTGTTTAGACGGGAAAGTTAGACGGGTAAATTCGGACGAGAAACCCGTCTGTGACCGGATTCTTATTAGCCGAGTTTCCCGTCTTCGATGAGTTTTCCGTCTCTAATATGAATTCAGCTTTTGTTTTAAAGTCATTAGTTCTGGTCGAACACTTCGGAAACAAAGAAATACGCTACGTTACGCTACAGATACGATTGAAGTGGAAAACAGGCTTAGCGAAGCCAATCAGATCGCAGGACAGTTATATATACAGCGAGATTCGAGAACTGTACATTGGTTCTGTGAGGGCATGCAGCAATCTATGCATGGTCAGTTGTATATATAAGACTGAATACCTATATTTTGCAAAGTATGCGTTGGGCAAAATTCTGTCACCAAAAACTACCTTTTCGTGTACGAGCGACTAAGCTTTTGAAAAACTTTACTTTTGTGTTGAAATTTCGAGACAGTAAAAAAGAAACTGATTTGAAAACTACAAAAACTCGAAAGCATTTGGCATTAATTTGCCGGGCAAATAAATAGGATTTGTTTTACCTTCAAATGGAGGAGTATCTTAAAACACCCCAACATTTGGGGTCAAGTATTTCGGCTATAGAAACTTTATATAATCTAATTTGGGTTTAGGAATACGTAGCAGTTTTATCTACAGTAACCACTCCAGTTGATAGGTTAGAGTTCACTGGGTTTAACATCGGCTTTCATCGGTTAAGTGACGAATAGATTTGACTAAAAGAAGATCATTTTCAGCGGCTGTAGCAATGGGAGGAACTCCTCTAAAAGACTAAATACGACAAAATAGTGTTAAAGATACTCAATATCTCCGATTCTTTTTGTCCTTATACGGGCAATGGTATACGAAAAAACTTTCAACATCAACTCGCAACGCAACAATGTTTTGAAAAAGGTTTATGCGTCAAATGTGATATATATGAGCTAGTTTGTAACACAGAAATTGTTTTGGAAACAAGTTGAAAGTTTATGAGCTGTTTTTATTCCACACAACATTGTTGTTTAGATTTTTGCTTATTGTTGCGTCGCAAGTTGATGTTGAAAGTTGTTTCGTGTAACAATAACATTACCTTACAATGAGAGGATAGGGCGAGTGAAGAACTAGCTTGTGAGGTGGGGGGGGGGGAATTCTAGAGGGCAGAGATGTGGGTGAGAGGGAGGAAGGACAAAGTTAAGTGTTCCGTTAATCACAACAGATCTAACTTTAAGGAAACGAAATATTTGATCGCTTAAAGACTTTGATCTCCTGTTGAATTCAATATCTTACATTCTCTCCTTCTTAAACGGTGTTTAAACCAGGGTCCTGTGGTTGGAAAGACGTTTAGCTTAAACGGTGGATAAGTTCAAAATGGAAATCAGAATAATCTATTTATTGAACAACTGAGCTGAAATATTTCGAGTTTAATTTTCAAAGGAAGTACATATTTAATGCAAAAGATGTAGGTTCAGTCGTTTACAAGATGTACGAGAGTGCTTTTAAACTTTGGCTTATCCACCGTTTAAGCTAAACGCCTTTCGAGCAACCTTGCCCGGAGTACTAACGTGTTCCATGGCTTCAATTAACATGTATTACGGACAAGTGGAACATATTATCTCCTATCAAAAAGAGCATGCGACATCTCTATCAGCATATACACAGCCAGACAGTCGGTCGAGCAAAACCATTGATCAATAAAAGGATCCATTGTATCAGGCTGTCTAATCTCCCTTTAATCTACTGCGATTCTATATCGGATTAAAAAGCAATTACCCTTTTTCTTTATTGCGAGCAGCGAGCTGTTTCCAGTGAAGTACAGGCTGGATGGCGTGGAGCAGTTCTGTGTAAATATTACAAGTGGTTTTTGTTGAAAACGACCGTGTAAGTATTGCATTTGAAAGGTAACTCTGTGTCATACATGGAATATAATTGTTTTTAGTCAGTTTGCTGCGAAAGAAGCTGCCGACAATTTAATGAACAGTGTTAAACAAGCCGCAAATTTACTGCCGATAATGAGTTTAAAATTTTTGCAGTTTAACGCTGGACAATGCAAATGTTTTCTTGGAGAAAATGTACCCTTGCAAAGCTTTCCGTCCGTAAACTTGGATTGGAAGCTATGTTGTTATACATGTCCCGTGCTTTATCCTCGAAAAAATACTCACAATGATCGGCTTGTGCGGTTTTTGGATGCAAATGTGTTTTGCAAAGACAGATAACACTCCCCCAAGGTTTTGTAAGCCACGAGACGAATTTAATATAAAATATACTTGCTGAGAAAACAGTCTGAATTCTAATTACCAAAGCAGTGCTCATAAAAAGTTAGCGTTCGTTATGAAATCGCGATGAATTATTGAACATCTTTTTCAGACATCGTCTCGTTTAACCGCGTGTGTTTTTGCTAAAGAAACGCTGCTGAAGATATCTCAGGATTTTTAGAGGCATACAGAAGCTGAGGGCTTTGTTAAGATCTTACGTTGACAGTCATATCGTATAGCACGATGCCTTTGCCAAAACCACCAAGAAAGAAAAGCTTGGAAAATGTAAGTTTATACAAAGTTAATCTATGTTATGTTTATTTATTTGGTCAACCGAGAACTCAATAAATACTGGAATGATAACTGCTAAGTCAAGACAGAAATTAATCGTGAAACTGGCGAAGATAATTCACCGTATGTTCCAGCTTTTTTTTGTTGCTTTTGCACGGTATCCAATAACAAATCAATTTGTCCATGAAATCGTACTATTTTGACACAGTGGCGTAGCCAGAACTATAATTGGGGGCCCATATTCATATATCCATCATACGCAGGATTAATTTCTTTTCAAATCAATTGTCTTTACAGTCTGTTAACATGAATATATGAATATGCCTCCCCCACAATTATCGATGCTGGCTACGCCACTGTTTTGACGTCGTTAAAATCCAATTATAAATGGCACAAAATTTTTGGGTCTTGAACAACTCGGAGCCGAAATTCTACCATTCACCGCACCCTTTGAACGCACCCCTATTTATTTGCTCGATTTGGAATAATTAAAAAAATATTCCGCTAATTACACATAAATTAGGATAAATCATTTAACCAATCAGAAGTCAGAAGCGGCTGGCCGATCCCAGGATGGGCCTTTTACCCGGGAACGAGGTTGGCCATATTCGAGTTGTTATTTCAGTGTTAATATAGAGTTCAAAGGGTCAAATTAATTTTCTCAAATTAATTCTCGACATTTCGACATAAGCTTAAATACAGCGCGGGTGAGGGCTTCAAAGCTGATTCCGCTGGCCAGTAAAGGCGACAATGGACTGGTCCGATTTATATATTAAACACGGACGAATGATCCATCTGACAGATCATCTTTCTAAAGTATAAATACACGACAAACTATCTAGACGAACTACGTGGACGAATATGTCAAACGAAACAGAATCCCAGTATACATATATGATCAGTGATAATTAACCATTTACTCAGTATTAACAACTCATTATACAATGTTTTTGCTTAATGTTTTTGTTTGTTTACATGATCCCGCTTAACCGGGATTAAACAAAGCTGAGATGACTTTGGGGTATTGAAATGAGCGAATAACATGATCCTGGAAGTTGTGTAGTCATACTGACAATAGCATGCACTTCGTTTGTTTCATAAAGGCTTATTTCAATACCTCAAAATCATCTCATGCTTTGTTAAACCTCAGCTGGTAACCAGGGTTCATAATATCATATGTCCTATCCAGTCGGTAGCACCTAAAGAAAATGTGACAATAGGTTGATAAGATAATGACCTCGATCGTTAGACTTTATTATGTATACCCGAGATTATTTGAATACATTCGACATTTTTCGCGCAAAAGGCTTTTTGTGTTTGGATCAAAAACGGCAGCCAACCGGAACGAATTGTCCACAGACAAATAACACAACTACGCTTCACGCGAAAAAAATCGCTAGTGTTAGTCAGGTTTGCAGCAGACAGCAGTGATTTTAAGAAGACAACAGTCATTTTCAGAAGCAGCAACAGTGATTTTCAGTTGATAAAAATTGCTTGAGAGGCGCCATTAAAGGTTATTTATTATCGTGTTACGAAGAGTCAGTGCAACGGTTTACTGAGAGTTGATGCTCGGAGTAAAATGATGAATGCTCAATTCATAAAGGTAAAAAAATTAGACATTTTGTATAGCTAGCTATAACATAACTGCCGTGTTGGGTGTGATATCCACGGGTTGTAAGTCATAACATGGGTTGTATATATAGATATATA